CTCACCGCTTTATATCATGTCAAAATCAAACTTGAAATTAATTGAAAACATAATCTTTTTTTTCTTCTTTTTTGCATTCATATACTAGTTATTATTTTTTAATAAATGTAAAAATCAAATTTACACCAACTTGGGCCTGGCTTGCAATCTCCTTTCCAGTTTATCCCAAAGGTGTTCAATGGGGTTGAGTTCAGGGCTCTGCGCGGGCCAGTCAAGTTCATCCACACCAAACTCATTCAACCATGTCTTTATAGACCTTGCTTTTGCACTTGGGTACAGTCATGCTGCAATACAAAAAGAGCCTTCCCCAAACTATTCCCACAAAGTTGGAAGCATAGCATTGTCTAAAATATCATGGTATGCTGAAGCATTTTTTTTTTTTAGATACAGTAAATATTCATTTACTGTACTTTAAGAAAATAACTTATATGTACTCCTTGTAGACAGATACGTTTTTTTCTGATTGTGTCCATCATACACACATCCAGGCACAATAAATGTAGAATGTATATTTGAGTGTGTTTTAAGTCATGTCCTTGATCTCACACAGTCTTCTGAAAAACACTCCTAATTGATCAGTCACTATTCTTTATTTTGAATCGCTATGCTATATAATACTTTCTGATGCTGTTTGACATCAGAACAATACGTTTGCTTTACTCCCTTAATTATTCATTGAGAAACATGTCGAGTGATCAGTGCAAGTCTGCTGAAAGGAGCTGCTGGTGCAATAACTCCTTCAGTCCCCTCAGAGCCACTGGCCAGACAGCCTGCAGGAGTGCCTTTAAAGAGCATGATTATGATGATTAATTACATCGTTTAAACTCAGTCTACTGATTTTAACACCTCTATTTCACTCTCAGGTTTAAACATCCCCACTTTAACATGAGACAAACCTAGATGTGTGGTGTGTGCGTTTATTGCTTTAAAAGCTATTGGTCTCTAGATGGTTCTGCTCTGTTTGATACTGTCAGTGTAGATTGACAGTCACATTGTAGATGTAGACAGAGAATTACACATTACACGCTGTCCCCTACAACACAAGACTCATTTCATTGAGCTGTGCCATTGTTGTGGCCATGCTCCTCTGTTTTCCTGCAGTGCGCAACGCTCCATTTGTCTTTGGTGCAGCTTATTTTGAGCAGCCCCGTTAATGTAATCTTAAACGTCTTTCTCAATCTCACTGGAACCCAATATTTTTTTTTTTGTCCTCTCACTTTTTCAATGATAGATAGCTTTCTTCTGCAGTGCTGTCAGTTACAAAATACAAATTCACCCCAGAGGCTCAAAGACTTCACAACCACATGTGCACTAACAATATTCAATCACAATCAATCAATCAATACTAAATAAATAAATATATATTTTACTTTTTTTTATTTAGTATTGTCCTGAAGTATTCTATGCTCACCAAAGCTGCATTTATTGATCAAAAACTTAATCATACAATTATTAATAATGGTTCTTATCATGCTAAGGATTTTTTGGTGATTATAGATGTCAAAAGAAAATCACTTATTTCAAATATACATTTTTGTAACATTATAAATGTCTTTGCCACTTTTGATCAATTGAATGCATCCTAGTTGAATGTATATTCAGGCGAGTACTAATTAAAAAAAAATATATTGTATACATTTTTTAGACAATCCCACTTATTTTGTTAAAATTAGGAACATCAACCTAGATTATTAATTTCTGTAACAGTTGCTTTTCATGATACCTAAGCTCTTAAACTAATATTAATGTACTGAAGAAAAAAAAACTTTGATGAATGACTTTCTGTGCCAAGTTTTAGTACTGTAGGTTCAAATATTTGGTCCTGCTGTGTATAAGTATAAGCCTTTAGTCATGTTATTGTTTCTGCTTCTTTCTACCTTGCTCTGGGTCTTGAAAAGGGGATTGTGCCATTTCCTCGGTCACACTCTTCAACTTAATGTTGTTATGAACTGTCACAAGTTGACAGATGGATCCTTGGAAACTAATGGTAACGACAGGCTGTATATTACAGAACATGCTGTGTAAGTTCTCGGGTCCTGGTTGCGCATTATCCATGTGTAATCTGTCACACATGCAGGTTTATTATCTGCAGTACGGTGAATCTGTTATTATCCTGCACCTTCATTTTCTGGCCTTGATGCAGAGAAATAAATTCATACTGATAGTAGCACAGAGGTAATACACTCTCACTGCAGAATGCACCCGCTTGCATTTTCTCTCTCTTGGTCATCCTTATTTTCACTCTCTGTCAGTACTTTTCTGTGTTCCCAGCAAAGTTTGTCGCTAATCCCAACCCACTTGATATCAATAAATCTCTTAAAAACAATGAATTCCCTTTCATCTGGTTCATGGTGCTCACACAGCTGTCGTGACCATCTTCATATTTGCTGTGGAGTCACAAAATCTCTGTAATGTTTTCAACTGTTTATGGGATTTAGCACACTGCATTACTGAAGCTAAGTGGCGCTGTGTTAGACTACGGCCAGAAACATACTTTATGCTTTATCAAGACATTGCCAGTGCTATTGTTTGACTGTGGTGTTAATAACCTCAGATGCCTAGCAATGCCTTTGCTATTCAACACAAAGTTTGGCTGGCTAGCATGAACCAGTAAACCTCTGCTGGTATTGTACACCATCTGGACCCAGATGACATTTTTTTCCTCAGTTGAGGGCCATTTAAAAGTTGCCTTGTCAACGAATATTGAAATTTGAGAATGTAAATGGTAAAAGCTTAGCATTCACATTCATATAAACCTTTAATCAATCCTGATATTATTGTTCAGATCGCAAAAGCATTTTAAAAATGTTAAAACCAGTGTTTTGTTTTTTTTTTGTCTTTTGATTAAGATATCCTTTACTTGTTATTTTAATTGAAATGACATCTATTGCTTTTAAAAAAAAAAAATAACATTAATAACAATAAACCAAATATTCAAACAATTTATATATATATTTTTTTAAATGAACAAAAACACATTTGAAAAATGTTCCTGAAGTAAAATTAAAATAATATTCATTGTCCTTTTTTAGTGGTGTTACTGAAATGTATCACAACATGAGTCACAACGTAACTGACAAACCATATTAGTACAGTTCACTAAAACTATATTTAAATGTTTTTAATGCTTAAAAATTAAGTAAAACAAAATCAGTTTTGCCCTTTTAATTTAATTTAACCTGTTCTCAAATAACTAAATCTCAAGCTGAAATAAAAATTAATACAAAACTATTTGGACATTTAAAAAACCTAATAAAAACAAAAATACCAGTGCTGTCAAACGATTAATCGCATCCAAAATAAAGGTTTTTGTTCACATAATATATGTTCTGTCAGGACCACTATCGTCAAAATGATAGATACTTAGCATAAAGTTTGGTTTGGCGGTATGGTTCTGTTCTGGGCAAAAAACTCCCTGCCCATCCATGCAGCCTGTCATGAATGAGCAGGGAGAGCAGCAATAATAACCCCCCCTAGGGTTAACAGAACAGAACAAAATGCCGCGATAGGTGTCGTATTCCTATAGGTAGATGTGATCAGCTGAGAATCACTATCGTCAAAATGATAGATACTTAGCATAAAATTTGGTTTGGAGGTATGGTTCTGTTCTGGACAAAAAACTGCCTGCCCATCCATGCAGCCTGTCATGAATATAGCATTAAACAATGAGAATGAAATAAGAAACTTAGCAGGAAATGTTGCTTAATAATATATTTATGGGGGAAGCATCACCCCAAGCTCAGCAAGTGAGGAACCAGAGGAAAACAATTGTTGTTACGTGTATTTTTTTATTATTATAATATATGTTTTTTTTTTTTTTTAAGTGCTGCTTGCACTTGCTTAGAAGTGCTGAATAATACTGAATAGAGCTTATATAGGAATGCTGCGATAGGTGTCGTATATTCCTATAGGTAGATGTGATCAGCTGAGAATCATGCAACTAACGCTAACGCTTAATTTTATGTACTGTGTATATTTATTATGTATATATACAGTATATATTTTGAAAATATTTGCATGTATATATTTATATTCATATAATTTATATTTTATATAAATATATTTAATATATAAACAATATATTTTTCTTAAATATATACATGCATGTGTGTATTTATATATACATAATAAATA